ATATGAATATAACCTGTATCTTCAGACAGGTAAAATGCAAGGAGCACTTAAAGCTTTTACATCACACGGGAGCGTTGTGAAAAACGGAGTTTTGAGACACATCCGTCTTGTGAATCCCCTGCTTCAGCCTGTTGCATTTTCACGCTTTGAGTCTGCTACGCCTGCCAGTTCCAGCATCGAAGAGCATGGTTTTGAAAGCACCAGAATTGCAGATGTCTTGAAAGGAAAAGGTAAAGGTGCTGATGGTTCTTGGCTCTGGTGCACAACCGATGACTCTGTTTATGATGCTGTTAAGTCGGTAAGCATAGTTGAGCTTTATGAAGTTCGTGTTCTTGCAGTGATTTGACAATTTTTGGCATGAAGGATTTAAGTCATAACTAATTAATCTTTCCCTTGCAGATGACCCAGCACAATGTTGGAGCCTTAGTTGTTGTGAAACCCGGAGTGCAAAACTCTCTTGCAGGAATCATAACAGAGAGAGGTAGGCTTATGTAATCTACTGATATATACCGTGCCATGCTTGTTTGAGATCATGATGCGAGTGGTCTTTGTACTGGGAGCTGGATTTCTGTCTTGTATGACCTTACGGATATTCTAGTCTGAAATTTATGCATTTCAATTTCAAATGTTTCAGCAGCGCCCTAGGGACTTGTTTAGGTTCTATAATCGTTTTTCCGAGAATTATTTTTGGAAACAATGGTATAGATCACTTTGATATCGAGCCTAACTCTTGAAAGTAGGAACGAATTCATAAGTTAAAGCTTGAAGAAAAGAACCGGGCACGCGCAGAATGAATGAGCTCATACATGCACTTGTTTCTGAACAATAAGCTAAAAAGAGAATGCTAAATTTGGTGACCACAGATAGTTGGGAAACATTTGGGAAAGTTTGAAGGGATAATCACTGTTTATAACTTTGATTACGTGATATGCTTAGAATTATTACTGCTGAAAAGCAATTTTTATTTTGGTTGGCCTCAATGTGACTAGAATTTTGGCGGTTGAGTGATAGTAACAAATAACAATGATCGGATGGTACTTTTGGGTTCTCCATAATTAATTGTATTTCTGTTTGGCGGATAATTTTCAGATTATCTCCGGAAGATCATAGTTCAGGGAAGATCATCCAAGTCAACAAAGGTTGGGGATATCATGACTGAGGAGGTATGACTTCTTGTTAAAAGTTTCATCCTCCTTTTACAGGATACTCTCTGCTATCTTACTAGGATTTACATCCCTTAACATTGTTGAAGTTTCATGAATGTTTAACATCTGATCGAAAATGCTAAAACGCGGTGACTGCAGAACAAGCTTATCACTGTCACCCCTGACACCAAAGTTTTGCGGGCAATGCAACTTATGACAGGTATTATCTTCTGCTTCTTGTAACAGAGTTTTCTAACTTAATGCTCCCTCATTTCGTTATATTTTCCTTCCTTCGATGCAAGGAAGCTTTTTTAAATTGGAAATTTGTGTGTACTATGTGTAGATAACCGAATCAGGCACATTCCAGTAATAGACAACGGGGGGATGATTGGAATGGTGTCCATTGGTGACGTGGTTCGTGCTGTGGTGAGCGAGCACCGGGAGGAGCTAGACCGCTTGAATGCTTTTATTCAAGGTGGTTACTAGATAATGATGATGACGAAGACATGAGACGCTGTTTTAGTTGACATGCCGGAAAGACAAACAGAAATAAGCCCCAGTGCTTGTATAAATTGTGTGTTCGTTTGTGTATCTCCGGTTGGTGTTGTTTGGTTCTGTACTTCCAATCACTGTCTAATTACAAACCTGTGGGACTGTCAAGTACCTAACAATAAACTGAGTACGTTCTGTTTTTGCTTAAATCCTCTCTCTCTGGTAGATGGTAGCGCGTTTTGTATCACACACGTTCACACGTTCACACGTTCGTGCCAGTATAGTACGAATTTTTTTATTTCACAAGAAAAAGGATCAGCCGGTGGTTTCGCAAGATTTCATCGTGTTCTTGGCCACCATCGTGTGATTCATTAGCGGGTGATTTTGCCACGACAGTTTATCATTTCAGGAATCAGGTAGAGTTTGTTGCAATCCATAGTTGGCAACGCAAATATATTCTCATCTTACTTGGAGTAACACAAAGCACCAACTCAAAAACGCAAAACAATTTGAAACATGCATTTAAAACATGAACACACCTACAACTTTTTTCCAAGTATTAGAAATTTTGAAGGAAACCTCAAAATAGAGAGCAAATTTAAAATACGTTGGTCGACACATTGTCATCGAAACTAGTACTCAAATTTGACCGGTACATCGAATGCCCCGTACAAAATTGAACCACGATGAAAATTGTACTATAGCAGACATTTAGTATAAGGTACACAAAAAAGTTGACAACGTGACGGAGGGTATCAAAATTGGACCTGGCTTCCGATTCACTCCCATTCTTTTTTATTTTTGCGGTCATGGTTAAGTTACGTCAATATTTTATATAATTATTGTTTTTTGTCTTATTATCTCTATAAAAAAAATCAATATAAAATGTTGACGTGGCTTAACCGTGACCGCACAAAATAGAAGGGGATGAGAGTGTAAGGGAACTAGAAGGGCAGAGAAGCTAGGTCCATCAAAATTAGCTCAGATATTGATGTAATAAAGAACACTTAATAATCAGTGGCACTCAGTACTATGGTCTAGCGGTATTCCTTTTCACTTGGAAACAACACGCACACGAAGAACAATAATCTCACACAGTCGTTTGGAAGTGTTTTTAAAATGACTTAAATCATTATTGGTGAAAATGTTTTCGAAATCAATTCTTAGTGAAATCCAAGTAGATCTTGAAAAAACACTTGAAGTTCTTCTTGAAAAAAATATACATATGATGCTTCTTTCAAGCCAATCATTTTAAAAGCATTTTTAAACGAGGTCGTAATAAACCAAAATGATTTTATTTTTTTATTTTAATAAATGTAATAAACTTAATATTTAAAATTTCTTCAATACGGTTAATATTTCTATAAAAATATTAGAAAAATCAGGAAAACATATAGAAAAGAGAGGGAAGTCTCTATACTTATTTTAGACCCTACATTATAATACAACAATGTCAAAACTCAAAAGTCAGTACGCGTCATCTCGCTCGCTCGCTTGGACGTGGACAACGAAAGGGCATAAAAGTTAGCTTACAGATTCCAAAGTATTTATTCTTGTCTTTAACTTTATTTATATTAATTAATTTATTTATTAATTTTGTTTATTTTTTTATGCTCTGAGAATCAAAACCCACCAGGCCACGAAAGCGCTCGAAAGTAGAAAACATTGCATAAAAATCCAAATCCATATCCATTTTAATCCACCAAATGGATTGTGTTTGTCGGTTGACGTGGCTTAACCGTGATCGCACAAAATAGAAGGGATGAGAGTGTAAGGGAACTGGAAGGGCAGAGAGGCTAGGTCCATCAAAATTAGCTCAGATATTGATGTAATAAAGAACACTTAATAATCAGTGGCACTCAGTACTATGGTCTAGCGGTATTCCTCTTCACTTAGAAACAGCACGCGCACGAAGAACAATAATCTCACACAGTCGTTTGTAAGTGTTTTTAAAATGACTTATTGGTGAAAATGTTTTCGAAATCAATTCTTAGTGAAATCCAAATAGATCTTGAAAAACCACTTGAAGTTCTTCTTGAAAAAAATATAGAGGTATTCATCAATTTCCCCCCTGAACTTGTGACCATTGGTCAATTTCCCCCCTCAACTTTAATTTTGGCCAATTTCCCCCCTCAACTCTCATAATTAGTCAATTTCCCCCCTCAACTTTAATTTGGCCAATTTCCCCCCTCAACTCTCAAAATTAGACAATTTGCACCCTATTGTTAATTTTTTTTTTAAATTTTCCATCTATTCTTTTCTTAATTTTCAATCTTTCTAATAACTTCCAACAAAGTACTAAAATTAACATAAACTCACCCGGATAATATAGGGTAAAATGTACAAAAACATAATACAGTTAGTATGTGATATGGGTTGATTATAAGAAAAAGTTATGAATCGGGTTTAAAGCATGTAGAAGAAGAAATAATATAAAAAAGAAATAATAATCCTAAACTCATGGATCAGACCTATTTCAATAAAATGGGTTATTCTTAATAAGGAGTCGAAAATTATGAATAGACTAGCCATTTTTTCACTAAAGCTCGATTCTCTGCAATTTACTTGAACTTAGCTTTCACTTTTATAAAGAAAATTGTGTTCACATACAAAAATTTACACATCAATCCTTTTTGTTATCAATTTTGTATAGTCAAAAATCAAATAAAATTACTCCATACTGATTTATTATGACTAATAATACTATCTATGATAAATTGTAAAACTCTAAATTTTAATCTATTTGTAATAGGATAAAGATATAGGAACATGATTAACATACATCTTATTTAGTTTCTTACAGACACTTGTTTAATTATGATCAAATTAAAAAATTAACAATAGGGTGCAAATTGACTAATTATAAGAGTTGAGGGGGAAAATTGGCTAAATTAAAGTTGAGGGGGGAAATTGGCCAAAATTAAAGTTGAGGGGGGAAATTGGCTAATGGTCACAAGTTCAGGGGGGAAATTGATGAATACCTCAAAAATATATATATGATGCTTCTTCCAAGCCAATCATTTTAAAGCATTTTCAAACGAGGTCGTAATAAACTAAAATGATTTTATTTTTTTATTTTAATAAATGTAATAAACTTAATATTTGAAATTTCTTCAATATGGTCAATATTTCTATAAAAATATTAGAAAAATCAGGAAAACATATAGAAAAGAGAGGGAAGTCTCTATACTTATTTTAGACCCTACATTATAATACAACAGCGTAAAAACTCAAAAAGTCAGTACGCGTCATCTCGCTCGCTCGCTTGGACGTGGACAACGAAAGGGCATAAAGGTTAGCCTACAGATTCCAAAGTATTTATTCTTGTCTTTAACTTTATTTATATTAATTAATTAATTTATTTATTTTGTTTATTTTTTTATGCTCTGAGAATCAATACCCACCAGGCCACGAAAGCGCTCAAAAGTAGAAAACATTGCATAAAATTCCAAATCCAATAGCCATTTTCTCATCTCTTTGCTCTTCCACGCCCGCACTCAAGACTCTTCAGCTAATCTCCGGTACCCTTGAATCCTTTCTCAATGAATATTATATGGTTTTTTATATATATTTTCTGCCTTTACTGTTCTTTTTGTGGTCTTTGTTTGACTGGCTGGTCCTTCCACTTGATTTCTATCTGGAAAAAGCAGAAGAAGGTTTTTCTGCTTCTGAGTTCTAAAGAGCGCTTATTAACTTGGAATTGGGGTTAACGTAAGTTGTTTTCAAAAGGGTTCTACTCTTTTTGTTGAATCTTTTGAAAGTTGACAGCTTTTTGTCAAATTGGTTTCTTTGCTATCAAGAAACAGGAGCCTGCTTGCATTTTTGTTGTTTTTGTGGTATTTGGTTGACTGGCTGGTCTTTACTCTTGATTTCTTTATAAGGAAAATCTGCTTCTGCTTTGCTTCTGATTTCAGAAGCGCTTATAAACTTGGAATTGGAGTTAATGTAAGCTGTTTTCAAAAGGGCTATTTTCTTTTTGTTCAATCTTTTGAAATTTGAAAGCTTTTGAGTCAAATTGGTTTCTTTGTTATCAAGAAGAAGGAGTCTGGTTGCATTACTGTGTATGCGGAACAGGGTTTGATCTGGAATATATTTTTTGAACAGTGTGAGCGTTTAATCCAACAAGGAAGAAGTATGGTGGGATTTTCTTTTCCCTTTGGTTTAGTATCCATCTCTGGCTATCTTGCACCTGAGAAAGAATTTCACTTGCTGGCATCTGTCTTCTTTGGCATCATTCTCTGCAATATTGTAAGTTTCAATCTCTAATTTAGTTGCTGTTTGTTATGGGACTTAAAGTTTTCTTGAAACCACTTTGCTTGATAGTTGGGGGAGTTGCTGAAACATGTCATCCGTAGTCAAAAGAAAACTAATATTTGGGGTTAAATTTTTCTATTACTGCCCTTCAAATCCATTTGCACTGGTAGTTTTCGGAACACTTTCCCAATTTTGGCTTTTGTTGGAATATAGAAAGCGCTTCAATGAGCTTTTCAGGGAGTATTTCTTAGCGTCTTTGTTTTGGCCATTTAAAGTAAACTTTGGTGTCGTTTCTTTAAGGAAAAATCATGGTTCAAGAACATGCACCTTTACTACATTTAATGTCGACCTGAGTAGCCGTTTAAGGTTTCAATATTTGGTATGGAGAATGAAAATGAAACAAGTTTTGGATGAGTCTTTTGGGTTGAAAGTCTTAATGTGATTATGTGAGTGCTCTAAGAGAGGATACATTAATACCGGTTGTTCTCTGTTGGTTGCTCCAAAACTAGGTTCTTTTTGTTACTCACTAAAACTGAACTTCTCAAAATGAATTATCTGAACTATGAAAAGTTAAGTTCTTTCTTTATGGTAGTTTTGAACTTGATGAAATTTTGATTTTGAAGGTTTACAGATTAACGCAGCTTATTAGCCTTCTTAGCGTCAAGGGATATGACAAACTCACCAAAGCAGAAAAAGTTGAATGGAACAACCGGTGAATATCTACTGCATGCCACATACTGAGTTTCTTGATTTTTTTTTTTTAATTTTTTTTTTATAAGAGTTTCTTGATTTTCTTCAAGAAGACAAGTATTATTTCTATTTTCTTCTTTTCGTGTACAGGGGGTTCTCAACTGTTCATGCTATTGCCGTAGCATTTGCATCCTTTTACCTTGTAGTGCTGTCAGATACTTTTCATGAGGATCATCGTGATGAGCCAATCGTGAGTAGAAGATCTACCATTTCAGATACAACATTGGGGGTAAGCAAAATTTTATGTCTCTTCGCTTATGAATTTTGAATTGATTTGACTGTGGTGCAACATGTCAATTACTCTTCTGATACAGCTGGTTTCATTGACTGTCAAATATGTTGTAGTAGATCAAAACCAATGAGCTGAATAGTTTTTCTTAAATTTTGCATCTGCAACTCTGTGTCTACCCGTACCATCCTTGTGTGAAGCTTCCTTCACATCATTTTTTAACCTGAATTTATTACTTTGAGCTAAATTAACTTATAATGGCCCAAAAAAACTTGTAAATTGTTTCACTAATGCAGAAATTTTTTACATTTCACTCTGCATATGCATGTTTTTGCAAATGCGCAAGTGCATACCTACATGCTGCACATGGGTTAGGCAGCGGAACATCAACATCTTATGCCAATTAAATCTGTCAGGTTGTTTGACCCAAGTTAAACCTAAATACAATCAGACCAACGATGAACCTGATAATGGAAGATTGGTTTGAGTCTAGTTTTCAGTTTGTATCGAAAACTGCAGCTCCTATTCTTCATGTTTCATGTTCATTTCTATGCACGATGACAGTTTCCTCAATCAATGAGTGACTTTCAAATCCCTCTACTGTAATTTTCAATTTTCTGGGTGTAGACGCTTATTATTGTAATTAATTTTATTGGGTACTTATTGCAGATCTCCATTGGATATTTTCTGTCAGACTTGGGAATGGTCTTTTGGCATTTTCCTGCTTTGGGTGGACTGGAGTATGTGAGTACATAGATGAAGAATATCGCCTGTTTGATATACATAAGTTATTAAAACCTTAAACCATATATTTTGGTTCTAAAATTAACTTGGCGAAGTTTGGTAAAAGAAAGTTGCATTTTAATGGATTAATTGAATCAGTATTGTGGTTTGATAATTTCTGGAGGTTGGTTATCGTACCCTTCAAGTTTGCATATGCAAGTCAAAGTCTGTATAAACTGGTATGATGATGTTCATCTGTTTTATCTTCTTTAGGTTTTGCATCATGGACTGTCTATGTACTCAATCTTGCTCTCCCTTATAAGTGGAAAAGGCCAGATTTACATACTAATGGTTCTGTTCTCTGAGAGCACAACTCCTTTCGTAAACATGAGATGGTAAGTTTAACATTTAGTAATCCCTTAAATCTCCTGTTCTTGGTTGTCGTCATTGGATGATTCATGTGATTGCATACTCAGGTATTTGTATGTTGCTGGTAAGAAGAACTCTAACCTGTACGTCTTCAATGGCGTAGCAATGTTCCTCGGGTGGCTGGTAATGTCTGACTAACTCAATTTGTTGGTTCTTGTGTGTGTGTACGTGTATATATGCATCGATAACGAGCCTTACATCTTTCAATGGCCGCTGGTGTAGGACTGCTGTTTAACTTTATCTACTTCATTTCCGTCAAGTAACATAATTTGTTATGTCTAACGATTTACTTCCACCAATTCATTCAGGCTGCAAGGGTTCTTTTGTTCATTTACTTTTTCGTCCACATGTTTATCCATTTTGATCAAGTGAGTTCGTTCTTCATATTCATTCATGTTTCTTACTGACAACTTACGATTCTAACCCATGAAAAGTTCGGTACTTATTATATCGGCGTTGTTTCAGGTCAAGACAATCTTCCCTTTAGGATTTTACAGCTTGCTCCTTGTGCCTCCAATGTTGACTATGATGAATCTCTTTTGGTTTTGGAAGATTACCAAAGGTTTGATCAAAACTGTTTCCAAGGCCAAACACAGTCATTGATCCTTCTATCTCACAAGTCGGGAATTCGACCTACCCAAATATACATTACTCGTACGTCTTCTTCCCTTGTTTCTTGATTGAATGTGAAGGGCGAATAGAACAACCACTAGATGTGGATAACTTGTTGGTACATAAATTTGTCACAAAGTTCAATGGTTCTGCAAGTTTTGGTTCTCATCAACTTTTATGTCATTTTTTTGATACTGCTGGAGATTAAACCCGAAAACTCATATACTTCTCCATTTTTCGTGAAGAGTTCGAGTCTTCATGAACTTGCAAACTTCCGATGAGATTGGGGATGAAATGGAGTAGCAGTCTTTTATGTCTCTTCCAGCATCAACTCGTACGAATGAGTTGTGCCAAAATTGTTATCCGTTGATTATGAAAATGATTTTCACACACCATTCCTTCCAATAAATAACCTTGTTTGTTTTTAGGCTTTAAATCGAATAAAACAAAGAAACCTCGATGGATAGAAATAGATAGGGCGTGCATAAATCATTTTCCGTTCGCTTTTTTAGTCAAATGTTAGTTTAATTTAGGATTACGCATGCGTTTTATAAAACTACCCTCTTACTCATTCTTAAAGCAAAGACCACTAGGTTATGCTTGATAAATGGGTTGTGTTTGTCGTGTTTGTGTCGTTCGTGTCATATTCGTTATTTTAACGAGTTCTTAAAATGTGATCCAATAACGATCCGATTCGGTAATGGATTTGTGTCATTTCGTGTGGGGTTAACAGGTCATGCATTGTCATGCCTAATGTCTAGGTCTGGCAAACGATATCTTATCGGTTCTTAACGGATGACTTGATAACGATCTGACTTATTAACAGATTCTTCACTGGTGACCGATAACAACCCGACACGCTAACGATTAACTTGAAACCTATTATATTTGTGTTGTTTCGTATCGAATTAACATGCCGTGCAAAAAACTGTCAAGCCTACACTAGGTTCAAAGAGCATTCAGATTCCCGTTGCCTAATATGCTATATATAAAACCTACAAAACTCTTACCTTTATAAACAATGTGATCCAAATAATAGACCTATATATATATATATATATATATCCACACACATATTTGCATATCGCAATTTAAAAAAAAAAAATATAAAAATTGTGTAGATAAGATTTTTCAGTGTACGCAAATGGACTATTCAAAGATAGTCAGCTTGCAAGTGGCTAGTAGCGTTAATCAAGAAATTTATTAAAAAGCAGGAGTTAGGAAATGGGGAAATAATGATGAGCGTGAGATTAACTATTCTTAATTTATCAAAATACTGTTTTTTTTTTCAAATATTAAATTATAAATTATAATGTGAAATTCACACTTTTTGATCGTGTGTTATAAATGCTCGGAAATTATGAATCAGAATAATTCAAATATTTTAACTGTATTGGAATATATATTCCCTTAGCTTTTGTCTTTTGGTCTGAAAGAGTCCCCTTTAGGCTTTAGCTATAGGAAAATTTTGAAGAAGTATTTGTCAATTTGTTCTCGGAACTTATATAGAGCTATCAATTTTCTCTCTAAATTTTAATTTTAGCTAGTTATCATCTTGAACTTTTATAACTAGTCAATTTCTGACCCCCCCTACCTTTAATTATAGCCGATTACCTTCTGAATTTTTGTAAATAGCCAATTTCTTTCCTGACATTAGATTTATCCAATTTTCATGTATGTAATTTTCTATCTTTTTGCCCTCATAGAGTTGTCATGTGTTGTCTCTTTGATCAAGATTGATGAAAAATTGGTTGAAATTTTTTTAAATCTAGCACTTGAGAGAAAATTGGCAATTTATAAAAGTTCAATGGGTTATAGACTAAAACTAAAGTTCAAAAAAGAAATTGACTAATTATAAAAGTTCAATAGATAATTGGTTAAAATAAAAAATTCAAGAAAAATTAACAGCTCCATACAAATAAGCAGATATGCCGATTTTGAAAACATGGTAGGAAAATTTTGAAAACTAGCCTTTTTTCAACATTTTTTAACCCATATTTTAGAATTAAAACTACCAGTAGTAATACAGTATTACATTTCCCTTTTTCTTTTGGTTATGAAAAAGAGAATATTGGGATAAAGACCTTTTCAAATTTGATAAAAAAGTTAGCAATAAAAATAAACTATTGAAAACGAAAACGATAGTTTCCTACAAAGGCTGCATTAGAGAAGCAAGCAATAAAAGCATGAAAATGACTTGTATGTCTTTCATTCATGAGGTCTCTATCTGTGCCAATAAAAATAAAAATATATGTAAATTTTTATCTGCTTATTTTTATTTTATTGGCATGACGCTACTGTAACGATATACCTGTAACGTATAAGTTGTTATTCTAAAATTAAATCCCCACCCACCTCCAAAAACCCAAAATCCAGAAGAAAGGACGAAACTTCTTGGCAATGAAGATAAAGCTTCCAACTTTCAATACCTCCCACTTCCTTCAATTAGCTCCCAAATTTCCCAAATCGATTTGGGTGAGTCAAGTCACTTTTTCAGTGTGACTTGTGCGTGTGAGGAGAGTGGTGGCCGTGTGAGGACATGGTGACCACGAGGTTTATTAGTCGGAATAGGAACGTTGAATCCTAGAGAGAGAGAGACCCGTCGCTATATTTATGTCCACACGAACCATTAGAGAAAGAAAACAATTGAACCAACGTAGATGGAGACCAATTTTTGAGTTTTTTTCTCTCTCCTTTTTTTGTGTTGGGAGAAACATATGAACCAACGTACTTGGCGGGCCGTTTTTGCTTCCTTGCCTTGTAAAACTGCAGTGTTTTCACCGCCTCCTGTTATTTATTCAACTTTCTTTCTTCCTCTTCTGAGATCCTCCCATGGCTTAAAGATTGCTTCTTTCTTTCCCCTTTCGATTCCAAATCGCTCATTTCCCAAAACCCAATTCTCCAAATCTCTAAAGGATTCGTGGGTAGGCGTAAATTTACAAGTTTTCAGTAGGAAATAGGGTTCTTATACTATATATATATATATATATAGAGAGAGAGAGAGAGAGAGAGAGAGAGAGAGAGAGAGAGAGAGAGTGAAGAAACGGGGGAGCTGTAAGTCACAGACAGTTGAGGTGAGTGGGAAATTTTGAAGGTTTGGGCAGAATGTGGAGATGGTGTAAGAGCAGTGCTGTGTTGGTGAGACAAATGGGGGTGGGGAAGCCCAATGGCCCCAACTCATGTTTTGGATTCAAGGGTTTTGCTAAACAAGAATGTGGGTTGTTGAATTTTCCTGCAACTTCGTCTTTGGCGCTGATTCCGAAGAGGAGAATGTCGTCTTCTGGCGGCGGAGTGGGAGGAGCAGCAGAGCTGAGCATAGGAGGAGAGACGATATCGTTTGCGGAGGCCAAGAGGCTGATGAGGCTGGTGAATGTGGAGGCTTTGAAGGCCAAGCTTGGGACAGAGGAGAAAGAGGCAATACCGTATTCTGATCTTCTGGAGGCGTGCCAGAGCATTGGGGTTGCCAGATCGCCGGAAGAGGCTGCTGCTTTTGCTCGGGTTCTCGACGAGGCCGGCGTCATCCTTCTGTTCCGGGACAAGGTCCTCCTGCATCCTAATAGGGTATGAAACCTCCTCCCTTTAACTTCTTATTGTTCCTTTGAACTTACATCAGAATGTAATTTTGCTTTCGTGTTTTGACGATATTCTAAACTACTCTACTTTACACGGATGGCTAAAAGGGTCTGTTTCTGGGACATGTTTATTCCTTTTTGCGGCCCTATCTCGATGGCCCCTCTCTCCATTTGTTATTGTTTTTCCCTTGACTTCTCGGGATTGTTAAGTACATTGTTGGGGATCACATTGTTTTCTTGGCTTCCAAATTGAAGGGCTAGGAAATTAAGTTAGAAATTATCTTCAGAGATGGAACTTTGGCAAGTTTCAACGGTAATTAATTACCATCTGTGGGAAGAGATGCACCGGGATTTCGTGTTAATTACTACCCTGTTAGGCAACTACATGGAGGTTCCTTTGTGTTTTTCCTTGTGCTTCAGAATTTGGTTAGATCCCATAAACCTGTCTTATTTGGCTCCTTGCTGAGGCTTTATGTATTTACATTTTACATGGCGATGAAGGTTCGTAGTTCTTCCAAAACTACCGATCCAAACGCAGCATAGGGTTTCGATAGTTCTTTTGGGGCCGAATCTAGTTGCTTTTAGCTTTTGTTGTTTTTCGTTCGTGAATGCGAACGTGATTGTTTGAGCTTTCATGTTAATACTTGGTAGTTATATTCATTGTGTAGACATCTCATATTTCAAGTCTAGTGCAGCGATTCGAAATTGACCAAATATAGGATCTGTCCTGTTTTCTTGACTAGATTTTGGAAGAGTACTGGCATTGCCAGTTCTTCTTACCGTTATGATATGTGCTTCCTGCATTGGATATGAATTAAGAATCTGAGCAGGTTACGAGAGCTTTCTTGAACACAATATATCTGTTTAGAGGCCTTACATTACATTGACTCATACCGCTGCATCTCATTCGTAACTTCCAGGTTGTGGAGCTAGTTCGAAAAGCAGTACCCCTTGCTCTGACTCCGGAAGATGACCCCTTGTGGGCGGAGTTAAAAAAGCTGCAGGAGAAGAAGGAAGAAATCGATGTGTTGGCACATAAGCAGGTCCGGCGCATTCTCTGGGCTGGTCTAGGGGTGGTCCTGACACAGCTTGGGCTCTTTTTCAGGCTAACATATTGGGACTTCTCATGGGACGTAGTGGAACCACTCGCCTACTTCACGACAACAGCTTGCATTGGCGTAGGCTATGCCTACTTCTTGATCACATCAAGAGATCCGACTTACCAAGATCTGATGAAGAGGCTCTTTCTCAGGAGGCAGAGGAAACTGATCGAGCGTCATAATTTTGATGTCGAAAAGTTCAAGGAGATCCAGAGAAAATGCGGCATACCTCTACACGCCAGTGCCTCAATTAAGAATCGTGTAGGCCTGGAAATAGAGCTCGACGACGCTTTACATAGAGATTAACACTTCGATTTTATACTGGGTGGGGAAAATGCAGGAGGTTAACTCAGACTCTTCTGTTTTGTTACAATCTGGCCCCTCCTGGTTTTATGTAGGTAGGGCCAAGAAATTTTTGATTTTAACATGTTGCTTCCGACCTACCTTTCAAATTGTCACAAATACTTAATTTCATGCAGAGCTTCTGCTGTCTAATTCTCCTCTTTTCCTAGAGTAATATCTCTAATAGAGGTCGGACCACTTGTACTGGATGAGTTTTGGAGGTTTGGTTTCATAACGTCGAAGAATCAAAACCCTAGGCGGAAGGCATTTCAGTTCCAAAGTAGAATCAGAATCACTCATCGTTGGCAACTGAAACCAATCTATTCAAACGTTACCTAACTGTCTCTTGATCTTTCGGGTTCGTTGTTAATCTGTCCTAAAATTTTAGGGTTTCACAAGTGCCGTACGAACAGTTTAACATACGTAGTCTATTCAGCAGCTTGACAACCCGTCCTTTTACAATTAGATAACCATATAGATATTGTTCTTTTTATATATTAGAAAGTCAAACTTCAGGGGAGCTAAGTATATCAATCACAGATTGTTCTTCAGATCCGCTGAAGTGCTCCAAAATCTGCAAGCATCTGAGTTTTTTGAATTTGTTAGTTTTACCTTGCAGGGTCGAAAGGTGAGGATAATAAAGCTTTCCTTTTCACTACACTACTTACCCCGTCTTGGTTCTTAAGCCAATCGTACATGGAACTCTCCGTTGCCTTCAATGCAACAGAACTTTTGTCATCTGGACGACCGAAGTTTTTGGCGTTTCGTTGGGAGTAAATCCTCTAAATGTTCTTTCGGTTGCTTTCCTCTTTGTCTCCTGGTCAAGGGAAGAGAAGCGGTTTCTCCATTTTTATCTTCAAGAGGTTCTTCCATGGGGTTTGCACGAGCAGAACATGGTGACGATTGTGTTTCCTTATTCGGAAGTTGACCAGCTTCTTGTGCATCATGGAGGCTAGATGGAGTCACTTCCAGAGCAACTCCAAGCTTTTGCATTGTTAGGCAAATCTTGATGTGTGCGTAACTTATCTGGCATTTTAAAACATGTTCAATTAGATAAACGATAATTGCACGTAAATGGCCCGTCTATATGAGTATTAAGCACATATAAGGTATAGATTCACGTACATTCGGATATACACACTTAATTAGACAGAGGCATTAATAGCATAATTAAACATGAACTGCCAAAACAAGGCAAAGGTTTTGAAGCTCACGTCTTCTGGCAATTCGTCTTTGATAGGCTTTAGCCTTTCCGTAGGGCCAACCTTTGAAATGGCACACTGAATATCTGAGAGAACTTCATGTGTTAGTCCGACCTCGTTGCATAGCCTGATCCAATCAATTTCACATCCTTCTTGAGCTGCTTCTACCAGATAACCAAGAACAGTCTGCTCTTTAATAGGAGCGGATCTACCAGGGAATTTCTGTGCTTAAAAAAGATCTATGCAATGTAAGAATTGAAGTATAAGAAAAAGATAATGATCCATAGTAAATACTGAATATCTGCAAAACATACGGCAACTTTCTGAATCAACATCCCCTCTAAATGCCACAATTTCCAAGCTTCAAACCTTGCTGGCATTAACTTTTTTGGATAGACTTTTCTCGTAATAGCAGTAGTTTGTACGGTTGCCTCTCCATCCAGTGGAAGATTTAGTCTTTGTGATAGATTCCGGATGATCCGAAGAAAATTGCGTCCATGTGTCACTACAAGGTGCTACAACATATATAAAGGATGTCATTATAAAATTAACCTTTACGGAAAGAAATGCTTCTATTTTCGTGAATTATAGCGCACGGAAAGGCACCGTCATGTTCAATCCTGCAACGAATTTTTGACCATTTGCTTGTGCTTATGTCCAATAAATATTCTGGATAGAACTGGAAGCCATCAGTCAGTAAAAAGTGTGTGATAGAGAATCGTGAACCAGGTATTGATCGGTACATATTCAAGTTCCTTTGCCAACCGAAGGACATAATTAGTTGATTACTACAAACAGAATATATTCAGTCGGAAAACTCAAACGACATATCAGCGTCAAAACTTGTTTCACATCAACGCAATGTATCAAATCCTTGTCGTTAAGAAATAAAGAGTTTGAGAAGAAATTTTTTAACTAGTAAACTACGAGGGTTTAGTTGGTTTGCCAATTATAGTTAAGATCCTAGTTAACTATCACACAGGAGAACGGATATATATACACACAGAAAGCTTTGCTATCGCTCTGTGCAAGACATACCTGGTTGACGCCATCGATTTTTGCTAGCCTTGCTTTGGTAGATGGTCTTGCTAATGCAATTTTTTTTATTGTTTGATCACCACAAATAGCATATCTGAAAAGAGTAAAATCTGGATGAAAATCAATGTTTGTGGGTAAAAACATTAAAAGAAAATTTCTTGTTTAGATGGGATAAAATATGTGGAATCGTTGTCTTGACTCTATGATTAAAAAGAGACCATACGGAGCAGTTCCAAGACTTCTTGCGAGCTTCCTTCTCTCTTCTAAAAGCATGTGGTAGAGTTGTTTCTCCGCCTGAGAGAAAATGAAAATGCATAAAAAAGGTAAACTGTAAAGGAGAGATGAAAAAATAAACACGCATCAAAACAGCGAATCAACTTTCATCGATAACCCAAGATCAACTGTAACAAACTTTACGTAGATTTCTCAACTCAAACGATGTCTAAGTGGTTCAGTTATTCGAGTTGGCAGCTCATTAAGGGAAGCTGAAGGGAAGGAAAAACTAACAATAAAACTCAACAGAAGAGAAAAGGAAACAGCAATGACGATTTATACCATTTGTAATGAAAATAGATGACTTTTTTTTAAACTTTCCACATCAAAGGTTGTAAAAGTAATTGAAAACTTGCTGCAGCTTCAGGCTTTCCAACTTTTTGCTACTGAATGACTCCATCATACTGTAAAATTTGACAATATACACATGTAACATTGATTAACTAAGGTGAATAAACACAATAATGCTTGTATTGCCAACCTTTGAGAATCCTTCACATTCCAGAGTAGCCGAACTCTTAATTTCTCCAACTTTGCCGGATGCATGTTTATTATCCTCATCATCGACCATTTCACTGGTCACTGGCAAGAATAGGGGTGGTTGATGATCGGGTCCAGCAGAACTGAGAAATTGGTACGCCTTTGGACTAAGACTGATGCACGAACAAAAGAAAACTCAAATTCAATCATTTACATTTCGAGTTTTGAAATTGAAATTCAAGAAAAAGAAAAAAAATACCTATTGGTAACAACAGAGAAGGGTCATTTCGGGTGGCATTTAGTATCATTAAAATAATAAATGGACCTCAACGAGATTTATTCTAAAGTTTTACCTTCTGCAAAAACAGAATAAATGAAAATAGTATACCTCACAATAGTACACCTCACAGTTCTGTGTATGTCATCTACTGTCTCCATCAAATAACCTGTATTAAAAAGAGCATTTTAACTCATAAACTGACCAATTAAGCGTTCATATCCCTCCGGTACTAAAATGTCAAACATAATACTCAGAGCAAGGAGATCAGCTGATAGAATATTAAAAATTAGTAAAAATCTTCTTGTGCATTAATTACTACGGCTTAAAAAAAGTTACCCTTATATACCAGAAGAGATTAATTGGTAACCAAGTGCTTTCCACCAATTTGATGAATAGTCCTTCCCAAGACCATGCAGTGGAAGCTTGTCATATTGGGCATCGATAATTATTTCAGCCTGTATGCCACAAGGAAAGATCACCATGAGTAACACAATGACATAAAAGTTGAAAAAAACAACAGCAACTGAAAAATGACATTTTAAAGAACTTTGGGGCGAGGCGCTTTCAAAGTTTGACAGAAGCTAACTGTAAAAAACATTCCTATCAAATTTTTGAGTTACAACTTTCGGTTTCTATCACTCACGTGTTTATATCATTAAGTTAATTTGAATTTTATTCCTACAATGTTAGCAAGACATATATTTCTTTGAATACCGCAAACAAAGACATCTCTTGAGCTAAAATACAAGGCTAAAAATAAAGATTTTCCCCTTGAAGGCTTGAACAATGCCAAATGAATCCAGGGAAAAACAACTTTTGTCCATAAAGTTCAACTCGTTGGATCCCCGGATCATTGAATTCCAAACATTCACATTTTAGATTCTCACAGTATTACTTACGCAACATCAATGATAAACATGGTATACTGTGTTTCAAAAATGCATTACAACTTACTCGAGAGCCACGAAGAATGTCTACAGGAATATTGAGATCCCATTTACCCCTACATGATTGAATGCAGGCCATTAGAAGAAATGCTTCTCTAGACATGTCCCGCTCCCTCTTTGTGGAAATGCAGTTATCACAATTACCTACAAGCACATTTAAGCCACGGCATAATTATTGGTTCAGTTTAAGTTGTAAGATTATCTGCCATGGAATATTGATGCAGGTGATGCTAAAGCTGTAAAACAATTATATTTCAATCTAATATTATAATCTAAAAACATTTTACGAAACAACTTCAACTATCATAAAAACTTTCAAACTATATAATCTAAGCAGTCCCTTGGACGTTAACATGTAATTATATCATCTCTGTCAAGTTCACCACCAGCACGTTCTATTATTTTATTGAAACAACAAGGACCCGAATTTAAATCCTAGCATCAAAAGCTAGCAATGAGTAAATTAGGCAGATGATTGACCTATAGCACACGGATGCAGATTAAAACTTCAACGCTAAAATTTAGGGAGACTGAACTCAGGAATTCCAATGAAGAAAGCAGATCCATACCACATTTATCAGCTGGAAACTTTTCCCCAAAGTGACCAAGCAAGAACTTCCTTCTGCAAATTGTCATTAAGCAATACTGTTTTGCTGCCATCAATGACTCTACAACAGCTTTACGTTGACTTTCCTGGTGATTAGAAGCCCACAAAAACTCATGAGGCAGAAAAATAGAAACAAAATAAGAAGTTACAGAATAGCATCCATAAATATTTAGCCACATCCTACAACAGAAACAAAATAAGCACTTACAGAATGTAGCTCTCTAGTGTAAAACTTAACTTTTGCAAAGTCACTTCTAGTGTAATAAAGCCAGCAGACAGATGCAATACCATCTCTACCACATCGTCCACTTTCCTGGTAATAACAC